ACAGTAAATCCCTACACAACAGAGTCCAGAAAAGAAAGATACCGCTGGCAATATACATAAACTTACTTTTACTGTCATTCACCAACCCCCAAATCCTCCAATGGCCTGCCCCTTAGCATAAAATAACTGCACAAAAAAGACTGCACCACAAAGTCAAAGTCAACTTTGAAAACTAAAATTCATTGTCATCTCATGACATCACTGGTGTATCTCTTGACTTTAATTATGGCTGACTTGAGTATAATTATTACAATTCCATTAATTATAAATAATAAAATTACAATATTTTTGAATACATATGCTGTTTGAATATTAATGCGTAATAATAATATTCAATCGATCAATACTAACAGTTTATTGACCTTTAAACGGAGCAAGTCATATTGCAAAAAAATATCAAAATTTTCAGTTTAATTACTAAAGATTTGTGCAAATCTGTAAACAACAAAATTTTAAAGATCTTTAATCGTTTATTTTCAGGATATCTTTTACGCTTTCCATATCACAGACTCAGGTTGTTTTGTATTCACTGCATGTCATGTACGCCATGATTGAAAGATTGGCTTAAATTTAACAACATTCAAGCTGACTACAAATTACATTGCTTTTGAATTTCAATGAAACTTAAAGTCTAACAAGATCTGTCGACTTTTGCGGCTTATTTCTATTTGGATATCTACATACACTGATCTAAGATTTAGAATTAAATTGTTTAACCACAGTGATTATGTTTGAAATAAGCTTTGTTACTATTGTTAATCATTAATTTTATGCATAATGGGATTTCTAAGATTATACCATCAATTTTATGCATAATGGGATTTCTAAGATTATACCATCAATTTTGGCATAATGGGATTTCTTAGATTATACCATCAATTTTGGCATATACTTCTCTGCATTTTTTTTTGGGGGGGGGATACATTTGTCTTTGATAGTGACCCTTAAAATACAACGGTGTGTGGCTTTAGACTTTCTTGCGTAAATGACCTTTACTAAAACATCTATGACTGTAGAGTTGAGATAATCCCAGTACAAATCATTTATTTCATCTATGCTGATTACTTGGAATGCATAAATAAAAATGTCCACTGAGTATTGAGTATCACATTAATATTATAGTCATGTAGACAACAGTGTACATACATACATACCACGTATATGCTAAGTAAATACAAAGAGTCTTTACATTGTCATAGGTTTGCACTGGATGCCAAGAATTGTATTGCTGAAACAATGATCCTAATTTCCCATGAATCATTGGGGTCTATATAGATTTACAAATGAACATGCATGTATCCTTATTTTAAGAAATTAATCAAAGTTTAATTTCTGTAGATTCAATTTTTGTGTGGATATACATGATTCCAGGATTAATTGATTAATCAGGCTTTTTGAATGCTTTTCAAGTGTAAAATTTTATTAAATTTAATGAAAACCTTGTTTTTTCTAAAAATAAGAAAATAAATTCCACAAGTTAATGTTGAAACAGGCATGAATTTTGTGACTTAATATGACCAGTTTTAAAATTTTCCAAAGACTAAATCCTTATACAAAAGGTTAAATTAAGCGATCAGTGAATCTAAAATCCTGGCGAAGTAATGACTGACAGCCATTTTGTTTTCTCATTCAAATTTTAATGACATGTAATTTGAAGCGCAATTCCATTTGCCAACATCACAAATCCGATCTACAGTCGCTGTGATTAAAGTTGTTAGAAGCAGTCAATGTGTTCAGCTCAGAATATAAAGCCGTACAAATCATGATGGCCAATTTACAGTTTAACCTACAAATAAATAACATCTAACAAACCATGCCGCAAAAAATTCAGTCAAAAGATTCTGCTCTGCAGCAGCCACCACCTCTAAATCCCAATATTTTAATAAAAAAACTTGTTGAACAAGAAAAATGATATTGAAGCAGAGACAAATGATTCATATAAGCCTCCCATCTATAAACTGATGAGTCACACAAGGAAAGTAATCGCATAATAGACTAATAGTTACCAATTAGATTTTAACACCTGTCTTTGTTAACCACAATGTCATCTACGAATATTGCACATTTTTTTATTTAATCTAATTTGACGATACTCATCATTTTTTATCAGTCAGAGTCGAAACAAATGCTGTTCCTTTAATTCCCGCTAGATTCCTCCCAATTATCTAGAGTTAATGACATCAGCGTCTGCATGACTGATGAGATTATGTTAATTAACATTTCAAACTTGGTTAATATACTGACCAATCAATAAGAGAGGAGAATTTGTGAACAGAGTCTTTGCACAAAAAAACAGTGAAGACAAAATGAGACCAAAATCATTACCTTCACAGCTGTAAAACTGAAACAATCTTTCTAAAGAAAGACTACCTTTAGGAAAGGAACTACGACATCAACTTCTTTCAAACAATAATGACCCCCACCCAACAACTTAAACACCACACCACATAAATTCATTAATACTTCATTCCTTGATGTAGTCATATCATCAAAACAATGTTCTGTAATGGTTCACAGTATATTGGTTTGTCTAAATAATTGTACCGGGTAGTTCCTGCAGATAAAGGTTAATTGAATTAACTCAATAGGAGCTATGGAAATAATATCACTATAAACCAAATATCAGTTGATACATGCCTCAACAAATGTACAATTTGGGTTTATGATTTGAAGGTTATAACAAGCAGCCTGTCAGCTGAGATAGCTCCACTGTTAGCAATGCACATTTCAATTAAAGAACAAAAGATATCATTAGAAAATGAACAATATGTATAGTATCAAAGCAATGGGACTTGCTGTTTTCAACAAGAATTCAAAAATATCACTTTTTACCAAAAATGACAAAAATATTCATCAAAATTAGATAATTGAAGATATCATCACGAAATGAACAAATCTGAGAGAGGTTTACCTGAGGTACCTATATGTATAATATCAAAGCAATCAGACTTGTGGTTTTTTACAAGAAGTCGAAAATATCACTTTTTACCAAAAAAGTCAAAAATAATCATTAAAATTAGAGAATTGAAGATATCATCACAAAATGAACAAATCTGAGAGACGTCCACATGTAGTACCTATATATATAATATCAAAGCAATCAGACTTGTGGTTTTTTACAAGAAGTCGAAAATATCACTTTTTACCAAAAAAGTCAAAAATAATCATTAAAATTAGAGAATTGAAGATATCATCACAAAATGAACAAATCTGAGAGACGTCCACATGTAGTACCTATATATATAATAGCAAAGCAATCAGACTTGTGGTTTTCAACAAGTCAAAAATATCACTTTTTACCAAAAACTACAAAAATATTCACCAAAAATAGAGAACTTGACATGAAATGAACAAATCTGAGAAAGAACCATCTAAGGTACTTGCATAAAACATTCTGACTTGCAGTTTTGAAGACAAAGTTGAAATTGTAATGTTGATGACGACGGACAATCAGTAATATGAACATTGTAATTGTATGTCAATTATTTTCACAAAATTATTTTTCAGTACAAGTGACTCTCACATTTAAACATAACGATCCAAAATAATTATTGCTCGTAATTGTTTGATTTGTTTATGATATAATTGTCAAAAGTTTTATCCCAAATTACTGAATTTAAAAAAAACAAACAGAAAACAATTCAAAGATATTATATTTTATGAGTGTGAAGTTCTTAGTCATGTGACATCCATCTATTTAATTCAGACTGAACTGACTACATATGCAAGTAAGAATTCTTAAATGCATTGCATACATCACTGTACATGTTTGATTCTCTGGAGCTTTGAAAGAAACAAATAAGAAATGAAAAATTCATTGATTTACAATACACTTCCCCCTTAAGACGTAAAAACATTACCTCAGAATACACGTATTGAGAAAGTGATACGAGCATGAACCACATGCATCATTTTGATGAAATTATTTTAAGGCAACAAATTTAGAGAAAATTGGGTTTTGTCTTCAATGTATTTGAAAACCTGGATTTTTTGTTATGATTATTTTTTTAATTGTTGACTGTAAAGAATTTAACCAAACTGAATGACCTTTACTTGGCACATCAATAAAATTATAGGAATCACCTAAAAAAGGTTCAGTGGTCACTTTGTATTTCATATTTCAAAAACTTTAAAATTATTTGAGAGAACGTACATTATGTGGACATTATAATCTGACAGTAGATTGATAAAATCTCTTTAGCAAAAACTCTTAAATGTAATCTTATACTCTGCAGTAACAATTTATAATTGCCCAAAGTCCTATTGACATAAATTAATAATCAAGTATTTCGGAAGAAATCTATTAAGAAATATGAATCAAAAATTTACACAAATTATTTGTATTGCAAATTTTGTCATGAGAAATTTAATTGTGAGAAACAAATGGGGATGAATCAGGAGACACCTCTTACAATTCTTTGTTTTAAATATGCTAATTTGAATGCCTGTACAACAGCTGGTCACCAAACTCCCTTGCTGTGAAGGTCATGGGTGTATGGTTGCTATAGAGATGAAGCAGAGGGGGATGAGGGAAACAAGGGTCACATGGTCATGCACAAATATAATTTTAAACAAGAGATGCATGGAAAAGTAAATAATTTTATTACATTGATAACATGCAAATAATTACAACTATAAATAATAATACAAGAAATATACATAAAATAAAGTGTTTGAAGAAGGATAGTTTGGATAAAGAAAGATAATATTCTGGGGAAGGTAGTGTGCAAAAGATAGATAATGTAGGACAGGATAGTTTAAATCATTATGTCTTGAATATATAATGATCTCAAACGAATATTTAATTATTGATCTGATAGTGGATTTCCCTCATAAGTTTGAACAGGCAGGTATATCAAATTCCAATATTGTTAAAATTTTTATGAAAAGAGAAGTAGATTTATTGCAGATACTGCAAGTCTATTTGATTTCACAGGAAACAAATGTTGGTGTATTTCACACCAGTCAGTGTAAATCTGGAAATTGTGTAGTGACTATCTCACATTTGTTTCTTCATGAATGATAAATCATCAAACCAGGGAATTTCTTAGCAGCTAAGTATGGTTTACAGTAAGCAACAAATATGCCAAAAATGAATTTTCATCAAAAAAATATTCCCACAAATCGTAGGACTATGTTCTTGTTTCTGTATTATTGAAATAGACCAGGCAATGTGGTTGAAATTAAATACATTCAAAATTCAGTTATTAGCACTTGTGTATAAATGAATGCCTGGGGTAGTGAAATGCATACTGCTGATTCAGCTTTGTGTGGTTACCATGGTTATATCGATTGTTATTCCTCCCGAAAGCAAAATCAGGTGATGTATTTTCCAACAATCCTTTTTCAGATGCAGTTGATTTTATCTTAGTTTTACTAAAAAGGAAATTTGTCAAGCTAGTGAGCCTGCATTGGAGTCTCAGTTGGCCACCAGTGATTTTACATTCAGCAGTCATAGGATAACATGTAGCCAAACCCATTACATGTTTGGGAGAAATTTCATTAGTTTGTTGGAGGGGTCATTGAGTCAAATGTCACTTCATATTTCCATTTCAATTATTTCCTGTCCTATATTATCCCTGAAACACCCCATGGGAGCAGATTTCATCTCTTATAAATATCGATAAATAGCTAGTCAAAATATAGATAGATATATATATATATATAGTACAATAAATATTAGAATATTTGGCATTTCTATGAAATTTGTCATTTATGTTAATTGTGGACGGATTATGCATGATGTTGTCACATATTTCTGTTACTGAATGGCACAAATAAATATCTCCCTTGTGCAGCCAATTATGTAAATACTAGGTTCTCTGGGTCACATCTAATATACTATCACTAACTACAATATCAAACAAGCCATGTGATATACATCAAACAAAACTGACTAGAAAACATCAAAAAGATACTTTGTAATGAATAAATTCATCAATGAAAACTGCTTTGACATTACAAACCATCAACTATAAATATGTCAGTAAATGCAGACAAAGCTCAAATGTCAGTAAATTAAATTATTCTCCATTGAAAACAGAAGTCAAAGGTACGTGACCTTAAATGTCAAAGACCAGTAAAGTATTATTCTCAAATGAAAGATTGTCAATCAGTTTGACCTCTAGTAGAAACAAAAGGTCATATGTCAAAGGTTAGATCAATTCAATGTTCATTAAATGAAATAATAATGGAAAAGAAATTGCACACTACTGAATCACATTTAAAATAAATATTTAACAAAATCACAAAAAACACAAATTTCAATAACAAAATCATGCAGAGGGGAGGGGTAAGGTGATAGGTCATGGGTTATAAGGTCAAGGTTCACTGGATAAATTTGCATATTGGTATCACCTGTCCACACATTCTTTGACAACAGCAAAATTTCCATCTCCAATGACTTTACCAACATCATATTTTTCAGTGATTGCACTTGGCGCTCCATTCACAGCTAGCGACAAAAATAAAATATAGTATATATTAATATGAGAGCATTATTAGGAATATTTAGCACCAGTGATAATCAATCCAAAACTTCATCCCTTTGTCACATTTCACCATTCATCTAAATCCACATTATTTTTTTTGAAAGTTTTTTTATTGGCCACTGAATGAAAAACTTTGTCCAAAATGTACTTACATATGGCAGGATACATTAATTAGATATATAATCTTACCTAGATCACTGGCATTACTACTGGCTGAACTTGATCTTGATGGCGACTAAGAAAATAAACAAGATTTAATAATTTGTGAAGAACTTTTTAATTATGTATAAATAGGTTTTTACAGTTTTGAATGAACTATGACCTCCAACCACCACAAAGTAAAAGATGTGTTTTTGGAGAATATAAGACCCAACATGTAATCTGACAGTGTAGATAATTTGATCTGAACTATAACCTCTACATGTCATTGCCCAAGGTATATAGTGTATTGTAATTTGATTGAACTATGACCTCTACATGTCATTGCCCTAGGAATATTGTGTAGATATTGTAATTTGATTGAACTATGACCTCTACATGTTATTGCCCTAGGAATATTTTGTAGATATTGTAATTTGATTGAACTATGACCTCTACATGTCATTGCCCTAGGTATAGAGTGTAGATATTGTAATTTGATTGAACTATGACCTCTACATGTCATTTCCCTT